TTTCTAAAAGGCCAAGGAAAGTTGTAGCAGCTTAGATGAAGATCGCAATTTGGGAATAATTCTAATTATAGCCTTGTGCCTAAGTATGCAAACTTTAGAGATTTTTCTTAGTGACCTCCACAATTAGAATCAAACACTGAGAGGCATCGCGTTCTGATGAATAAAATATGAGGGCAATCAAAATCCACGGTAGAATACAATGGCCTTATAAATATGGAATCACCTTCACTTGAAATTCAGCTCTTCGCAAATTCATAAGAAAATTAACTCCTTTGGATCACTCTGGAGTGGCAAGGCTACAGATACGTATTGAGAACCTGCTATTTATGTGCCAGTCACTTGCAAGGCAAATCTGGAAGGAACTGTACAAGCCCCAAGGAAACCAGTCTGGTACTCTATGTAAATCTCTATGGTAGAAGCTGAGATGAGTTGCCTGCCATACAAGAAATATACCAGCAAAATACCGGGAGTTTAGAGGGAAAGCGTATGTCTGGCTGCCAGCATTTAAGTAGAAAAACAAGCCTTGTGTTTGTGTAGTGATTGGAAGCAAGGTCATTTCAAGAATTGACTGATCCATGAATGAGTGTCACGGTGTTCCCAAACAACGAAGCTTTATTTACAAAAACAGGCCCATGGGCTGTTGTTCACCAAAGCCCGGCTGAGAGTTAAAAATGAGAGGCGAGTGTAAACCATGTGTGCAGGCAGAGTAGACTGTAAAGCAGAGTCTTCCCTCCATTTTAAAGGCTTGACCTGAGTCTAGACTCTATGCTGGGCTTGAAAGCTGCTTTTCTTACTTCTCACCTGGAAGTTTTCCTAAACCCTAAAGAGGACATTGAATGGAGTCTTTCCTTGAGGGTTAGCAGACACTGGATAGCACAATCCATACCCAAAGGGTCTTTCCACTATAGTTAAACAGCTACAAGACGCAATAGCTTATGCTCTAAGAATCTTCCTTGGTGTACATTACTGATGAATCTTTACTACGGACCCCCAGAAACAGACAAGATTGAGGAAGCACTTTTATAGCAGTTACCCAAAAACCTGCCTGTGAGTATCCTGTAATAGAAGAAAAGCGATTACCATTAAGCAATCATGTAACCACACTTACGGGTTATCCACCTATGCCTGCCAAGTTCCCACTTCTATGTATTTCATCCTTGGCTCCCTTGGGGGATAACGTCTTTGAACCAATTATGTTTTTGTAAATTTTAGTTCCTGGTCTGGCTGTCCAAAACGTGTTCTTCCTCGTTGTCTGAAAGTGAAGTAATTTTTCCATCCGAGAGTGGACCATCTCTGTCCTTCCATCAGCCTCCATCGTTTCTACTTGAAGCTGACTCTGTGATGTCGCTCTGTGGTAAGAGCAAGATCCTTTCAAGAACCAGGTGAGTAACAAGTGAGCCTGGATGTGCTCCAGCAACATTTCATTGCCAAAAGCAGTCCCGTGGACCGTTGTTTATCAAGCCTTGTTTTAACATGATCCATCTCCATGAGAAAATGGCAGACTACTTTTTGATCTCTTGGGAAAGGAAACTAATGAAATGCCTTCCTAGAGTCAAGATATCCAAGTTATTCAGATGTGCAAGTAATTTTCCAGAGCTTGAACAATGTCTTGCACAACCTTCCACCACTCAGCTGTGCTGTTATAGTTGTTGTTGTGTGCCATCGAGTCAGAAGTAACTCATAGCTGACCCTCCACAGGTTTTCAGAGGCTATAAATTGCACAGGAGTGGATTGCCAATCTTTCTCCTGCAGAACAGCTGATGGATCCAAACCACTTGCCTTTAGATTGGCAGTGCAGTTCCTTACCCACTAGGCCACTAGAGCCCCCTCCATTCTGCTGCTGTAGATGTAGTTTGGTTGTCTTGTTATCAAATGCCTTCTCCTGTGGCTTACATAATCAGGAGCATCACACCTACCCTGTACTTGGGTTTGTTTGGACCTTTTGGGGCTTCTCACATTTTTAAATCTAATTTTCATCTCATATTCTAAACAACTATTAGTCACTATGTAGGAGCTGTGATGTTCTTGGGTTAAGGTATGCATCTGGTAACTAACTGAGTGGTTGGGTGTTCAAATCCACCCAGGAACACCACGGAAGAAAGGCCTGGAAACCTAGTTTATAAACCCCAATCATTGAAAACCCCATAGAGCACAGTTCTACTCTTGACACATATGGTGTCGCCTTGAGTCTGAGTTAACTTAAAAGCAACTGGCTATTGAATGCATGGTGTGTGTGTGTGTGTGTGTGTGTGTGTGTGTGTGTGTGTGTGTGTGATTAATGACCTCTCTAACTATGCATCTTGCTTGGATCCACAATCAAAAACCTTGGTACCAGCAGTCTGGAGATCAGGAAACATATAGCACCAGCCAAGTCTACTGTCAAGGATCTCTCCAAAGTCCTGAAGAGCAATGTTGTCAGTTTAAAGACTAAAGTAACACCTAGTTTAAGCCACAGTCTTTCATATCACCTGCTATGTGTCTGAGAGCTGGGCAATGGAGAAGGATGACAGTAGAAGAATCAATGCCTTTGAGTGGTGATGTTGGAGAAGAGTGCTGAATGGATTGCCAAAAAGAACAAACAGATATGTCTTGGAGAAGGTACAGCCAGAGTGTTCCTTGGAGGCAGCGATGGTGAAACTTTGTCTCACATACTTCAGGCAGGTTGTTATGAGATGTCCTTGTAAAGGGACATCATGCTTGGACAGGTGGAGGGTCAGCAAAGAGGATGACCCTCAATGAGATGAGTTGACATAGTGACTGCAGCAGTGGGCTCAAATGTGTCAGGGATGATAAGGATGGCACAGAATGGGGCAGAGTTCAGATCTGTGGGTTGTACCCAATAGCACTTAACAACCACCACCAAGTATGCAAGATGCCATGAAAGGGGCATATACTTTTTTTTTGTGTTGTTAGTTACTTGCCTGGCTGCTAAATGTTCAAGTTATTTGCCTTGCTGCTCTCATGGATAGGGTAGAGGGAGGAAAACAATAAGCCAAGACAAAAGGCTTGCTTGTCTTTTCAGGGCAGCTGTGGAACAGAGAAAATCATGTGACCATAAAGAGGTTGAGATGGGATGAGACTGGGGGAGGGGTGGCAAGGGCTTCTCTTGCATTGGGAGCTAGGGACTGAGTCAAGTTTCATCACCTACTCTCAGGTTTGGAGCATCAAACTCCCAAGAATTTTGCCAAAATCAAGGTTGCCTTTTGTCATCTGTACCTCTGTCCCCACGCCCCCCAACACCAACATTCTTTTCTCTTTAAAGTTTTTTTCTCCTCTCTTTAGCCTAAGATTTCAGTCAGAAGCATGTAAGATGACACAGAGGCATTTATGGCCTTACAGGAAGGAAGTGGAACAGAGTACTGTGACACTGTGGGGTTTGCAATTGGTATCATGAAACAATCGAGTCTCAACTGTTGAACGGAAGGAAAGCCAGTTGGCTCTGTAAACTTTCACTCAAATCACACTGGGAAAACAAAAATCATTTCTGCCTGCATGATGTTTATTTTCCTTAAATACACTTAAATACGAATCATTGTAAATTTGAAAGCTACAGGTTTGGGCGTAATCAGAAAGTCAGTGTTGATTTTACAAGTCAAATTACCTACCAAAGAGAATCATAGTAATTCACAAGAAAGCTGCAATTAACAAAGGACTAGAAGGCTAACCAGATTTCCTCCTGTGCTTGAATGGATCTCATGACACCTGTCACTCTGGGTTAATCAGACCATTTCCAGTCACCAAACCAAACCAGTAACACAACATGTCTGTTCTCTATTTCTTGGGGTGTATGAGCTTTTTCAGTTAGAAGATGCATGTCAGGAACCAGGGAATCCTTAAGTCAGTGTTTGATGGCAGATTGCTCTGAATTCACCCCAATACTATGGAAGATGGATGCCCCCCCCGCCCCAACACTGGGAATAAACCAAAGTCAGTGACTTGGCCAAGCAGCATACTGTTTACAATGGCAGGGGTGGGAAACTTGAGAGCAAAAACTGGATCAAGGATGTTTTCCACTTCTGAGCCTGCAGACACCTTTTCCCTCAGCAAAATGACAGCCTTGCACATAATAGTTTTCCATTTACACGTGTTCCGGCAAGAAAGGTGAAGTTGTCCTCACAGCTGCTACAAAAGGAAAGAAACAAGAACTCAGAATTCAAAGGTACAACTCTATCCTGATTTAAGATTTTTTTTTTCCCTACTGATTTTTACGTTTCTGAAGACAAATTCCTAGATTCTCTCTGCCATCAAGTCAGAACTGACTCGTAGCTGACCCTTCAGCAGGTTTTCAGCGGCTGTGAATCACAGAGGAGGACATTCCCCAACTCTCTGCCACCAGCAGCTAGTGGATTTGAACCGCCTGCCTTCTTGTTGGTGGTACAACTCCTTATCCACTAGGCCACCAAAGCCTCAATTTTCCAGATGGCATTTCAAAACTTGGAATACCAAATGAATCAAAAATCTCTCACAGCCTGATCAGCAAACTCCAAGTGTTCTATTCATCAATCATGTTTTCATCATGCAAATCCAGTGACGCCCTTCTCATTAAAGTCAAACTGTATACGTATGCGTGCAGACGTAGTGAGAGAGAGGCAGCCAAAGTGTGTGCTGCTCTGAAACCTCCCTCTGAAAGAATACTTTCACTCCATCGATTTAGGTTTTACTTAAGACTTATGAATCAGGGATGCAAGTCAACCACTTGCTGTTAAGTTGCAAGCTCGTATGGATCAGAGTAGAATTGTGCTCCAGTGGCTGAGGTCTTCAGAAGCAGACCACCAACCCTTTCTTCTGAAGCATCTCTAGGTGGACCTGAACCGCCAACTTCTCATTCACATCAGCCAGGGACTTCGAACAGTAGCAGTCAAGACTCACTGGCCTTCCCAACTAATCAGTACTCTGTGTGTTCTCATTTAGTTGCTAGTTGCCAAGTCTCTATTTCACTACTCTTTAAAAAACCCCACTAAAAAAATAATGATATTTACATTCAACGTGGATGGGCAGAGTCAAGGGGAAATTGGAAAGGAGATTCCCCGGCAGGTGTCTGGGTGAAAGATCTTCTGCTTCAGGCAGCAGCTCTCCAGACTTTCTCTGCACTCAAAGCAGCTGCAGTTTTCTGGGTGCTGGATGAGATCTTGGGGACACGGCGCTTTACAGACACATTCGCAACGTTCTTCGTCAAACTTCCTGTGTGGCCCACAGAGTGCCAGTTCCTGGAGGTGAGAGTGGTCTAGACAAAACAGAGAAGTATCGCTCAGGCAACTGCGGCCTACTTACATAGCGGCTGTGAGACTTGGTGGCACATTTTACATTGTCCTAAAATAACTCACACTCCCCTCAGCTCCTTTGCTGGAGACTTGGGTCGCTCCCTTCCTTACAGGTACTAAACAGTGAATCAGAGGATGACCCTCCAGGGGCTGGATTGAGGTGAAGGCAGCAATGAGCTTAAGCTCGGTGGAGATTGTGAGGATGGCTCCATTGTGCAGGGGGGAACCAGCCACAGCACCCAACAACAACTGAGAATCGTGTGACTTGGAATCCACGTGGTGGCCGTGGGTTTGGTTTGAAAAGGTTATGAGTCTAGTGTGCCTTCGTTTTGACCCAGTTGTCACTGAGCCACCTCTGACCTATCAGAAGACACTTGTGCTCCACCGAGTTCCACTTCCCCAAGTTTCCAATGACTGACTTTTTTTGGGAAGTAGACCGCCAGACCTTCCTTCCAAGTTGCCTCTGGAACCCTTCAGGTAGCAGCACACAAGCACGTTAACCATTGGTATCACCCAGGAACTCCTAAAGGGCAATTACTTGGGAAGCTCCTAAAAGAGGTATAGTGGTAAAAACTCTTCCTGCTAACCTCAAAGTTGGTGATTCGAACTCACCAGCTGCCCCACGGAAAAAGCTGTGGCTGGCTACTTCTCTGTGAAGGTTTACAAACAGCCTCCGCTTGAATGGAATCCTGGCAGCCCCTTTGCTTTGGTTATTCGTAAAAGAAATGCATTGGTCACTAGGTGGCAGCAGAGATCCACGAAAAACACTTCAGATGCGCCCAACTCTATTTTGGACACAGCGCTTTAAGGAAACATGCAACCATGTTTTCGGAACTTCAGCGTGGCCTCACGAGTCTGGGCACGTTAAAAGGGACACAAACAGGATGCAGGGGAGCTGACTGGATCAGTAAGTAGCTGAGTTGATACTTGGGGAAGGGGGTGGAATTAGGGATTTCAATCCTCAGGGAGGTTGTTGATGGGGTGCCAATGTCCTGTCCTCCATCTTCTTCCTTTTATATACTAGAAAATTCATGAAACTTTGAAAAATTAAAAATTTGAAAAATCATTTGTGGCTCTCTTGAAGAAGGAAGGAAAGAAGGAAGGGAAAACGTAAGAACATTAAGAGCTGGATCTAGCAGGGTGAAATGATTTTGGCCTTGATTGATTCGTTAACCCAAACGCACATGCTCAGGGACCAGGGAGGCATTGCAGGAACAGCCAGGTGACTCAACAGCTACGTGCACCGACAGGATGCTCAGTGAACAGCCAACTCAGAACATGCCATCTGTTTGAGGGTGCCACCCTCAACGAAACGACTGTGGACTTGGCCGGCATGAGCAGGATGTGGGAGATGACGTGATGATGTTGTGGGCTTCTCCTTCCCCTCCAAGCTGTCATTGCAACAGCCTCACAGAAGCTCCCCCTGACAACGCGTCCTCTTCTACTTGACCATTGGTCTGAATCACTAAATATCTGAGTGATGACACTCTCCTGTTTGAACCACTTTCGTGGTATCCCTTGACCCTTAAGTCACAAGTTTCACAAGATCACTGCCCCTGGAGGCCTGTCCAGCTTCCTCCCTCATAGGCCCTGAGCCTCTCCCATACGTCCCCTCCTCGCTGCACCTCCTCCAGCAGCCTGGACATGCTATGTCCTCTTACCTCCAGCCTCATTTCCCTACTCAGAGCACTTATCTCTTCCGCATAAATCCCCACCCCCACCCCATGGCCACATGTGCGCACCAGTTGAGTTCTCCCATCAGCAGAGAGGAGCTGCCTCACACAAGAGTATGCAGTCCCTGTCCAGTGATTGTTCATATGGCCCAGCCCCTTTACTGCTAGAGGTCAGAGTTGGTGTTTGAGAGGTTGGCCAGCCAACACAGCAGTCACCGCACTTACCTGGCTATGAAATTATCTGGAATAGCATCACTCTGAATGAAGATGTCTTTAAGGGTAATCAGCCATCTGTTAGTTCATGGTACTGTGGTGGCTCTGTGGGTTGCTGTGATGTTGGAAGCTATGTCACCAGAATGTCAAATACCAGCAGGGTCATCCATGGGGGGGTGGGGGCAGATTTCAGAAGAGCTTCCAGACTGGGAGGCAAGTCTGACGAGGTGCTTCTGAATGGGGTCAGATGAGGAGTCCCTCAGCTTGGAAGGCCCTCAAAATGTGACCAGGGAAGAATTACTTCCTCAAAGTAGCGTCTACCTCGATGATGTGGATCGGTCAACGAAAGACCTGCATTTGCTGATGTGGCATCGTTCAAAATGAGGAGAATTGGCTGCAAGCATCACATCATAATTGGAATGTGAAACATACAGACTATGATTCATTGTAAAAAATGAAATTGAATGCATAGAGACATCCTAGGCACTTTTGTTGTTGTTGTTATGTGCCATAGAGTCGCTTGCGACTCATCGCGACCCTATGTATAAGAGCTCTAAACGCTGTTCTATATCCTGTGCCAACCTAGCCATCCCAAATGCACTTATTCCCACCACTCCAGTCACAGAATCGATCCATCTCATCGAACGTCTTCCTCTCCTGCCCTTCACTCTGCCAAACATGATGTCCCTCTCGAAGGACCAGTCCCTCCTGACTCCTACGCATTAGTGAGCACAAATGGCAGTGTGCGTCAGGGTTGTATCATTTCTCCATAGCCCATAGCAATTCATTCTCTATGCTGAGCAAATAATCAGAGAAACTGCACTATGTAAAAGGTATCAGGATTGGAGGACAACTCATCAGCAACCTGTGACACACAAGTGATACAGTCTTGCTCACTGAAAGGGAAAAGAACTTACTGAAGAAGGTCAAAGCCTTCATTGTGGATTACACTTCAACATAAAGAAAAGAAGATGTCTACAATTAGACCAATAAGCAGCATAGTGATAAATAGAGAAAAGAATGAAGGTTTTTAAATTTTTTTTATTATTATTATTATTATTATGTGTGTACCATCAAATCAGATTTGACTGGTACAGGAGGAGATTTTCCCTCCTTCTACAGTAAAGCATCTGGTGGATGTGAACCGCTTATTTCTGGGGTTGCAGTGCAGCTTCTTGCCACTAGGCCACCAGAGCTCGCCAAGAATGAAGTTTTTAAGGAGTTCATTTTACTTGGCTCTGCAACCAACATCCATGGTAGCAGCAGTCAAGAAATCAAAAGCTGTCTTGAATTGGGAAAAAGCTGATGCCAAGGACCTTTCCAAAGTGATAAGGAGCAAGGATGTTAGTTTAAAGACTAAGGTGTGCCAGCCCCCAGTCATTTTAAATTATTTAAAGTATTAAATTACCTAAAGTATTTTAAATTGCTTCATATGCATGTGGAAGTTGGATAACTAATAAGGAAGACTGAAGAATTGATTCCTTTGCATATGGTGGTGGTGGTGAGTCCATATACTATGGACTGACAAAAGAACAAACAAATGTGTGTTGGAAGTGCAGCCAGAGAGCTGTTTAGAAGCTGGGTTGATGATATTTCAGCTCACACTTTGAGCATGTTATCAGGAAAGACCAGTGCCTGGAGAAAGACACTGTACTTGGAAAAGTAGAAGAAGGTCGGTGAAAGAGAGGAAGACCCTCAAGATGGTGGACTGACACAGCGACAACAGTGGGCAGAGCAGAGATTGCGAGAAGGGGGCATGGTTGACTGCGTTTCATTCTGTTGTACATTAGAAATAAAAGTCCATTTGACCGCACCTAACGATAACATTAGGGTACCTATGCCAGCAGGGGGCGCTGGGAACTTGGCCTAGGAGATTTTCAAGCTCTGCACTGGCACTGAAAGGGCCTGAATTTATACACTTTTCAAACTTCTGTCCAGCCAACTCTGCCTTATAGTGACCAGTGTGTAGCAGAGGAAAACTGTGTTCCTTATATTTTTTAAGGCTGTGTCTGTTTATTTGCAAATCATCAGGTCTTTTCTCCAAGGTGTCCCTGGGTGGAGTCAAACTCCCAACCCTGGAGCTGTTTGCACCCTCCTAGGCTTCCCCATGGACTTCAAGTTCCCTTCAAAGCCTGAGCTGCTCTTCCTGACACTCAGAAGAAAATTGAGTGACCCAAACATAGGAGACAGGTTGCTTACATACAATTTCTGGGACGAACCCTTTACTGTTTTAATAGTCAAGTTTCTTGTTTGTCCGTTCATAGCTTCAGGGGGGGCGGGGGGGGCAAAGTTCAAATTGGATGATTTTTGGCAATTTTTTTGCAGAGGAACCATATCAAGTTCTCTGGGGAGTGAATTAAAAATCCATTCATTTCCCCTACAATATTCATCACCTGAAATCATAGCATTGTGAGTTATGAGCAATGATGAGCCCTCAGTTCAGTCGAGTCCCAGCTGCCAGGAGCCACGCTTTGCTTTTACTTTGCCCTGCTTCCAGAAAGCATTTTCTTGTAGTCCCCATTGTGTTTTCCAATTACTGGCATCCTTTCCCAGGACACAAGAACCCAGCAGTGCGAAATTGCTTTCTGTTCCCCCAGGCTCTTCTACAAATGCCTTCATAAATGTGGAGGGCTGCAGGGGCTTTCACTGACAGTCAACCTCTCTTCAAATTCAACCTCTGGGGAGGCTCTCATGTCTTCGAGAGACCCCTGGTGGCACAAGGCTTAAGCGTTTGGCTCCTAACTGTAAAGTCAGCAGTTCAAAGCCACCAGCCACTCCCAGAGAATGATCCAGTGAGCTGTGCATCTATGGAGACTTTTTTCACCCCCTCCCCTCTAGACTGAAAATCAGCACACGTGCAATTTTAGTACCAAAGGCTCCAGAATCTGGACTGCTTCTGTCATGCTTGGATGTGGGAATTGCAGAAAATGATGAAACATCTCAGCGTTTCCATTTTGTAATTGTGCAAAGGAGGCTCGTGATAGTAAATCAGAGGGGTGTTGAGAGCGGCTTGAATTAGTTAATACAAGAAAAGGCTTACAGCATTGCCTGGCCATTGTAAGCATTCAGCCTACACAAATTGATATTGTCAGCTGCTGTCAGGTCAGGTGGGACTCATAGTGACCTCAGGAAAAACAGAAACCTTACCCTCTTCTGCGCCATCTTCCCCATCTCTAACAGGCTCCAGCCCAGTGTCACGGTCACTGTGTCAATCCATCTTGTTGGGGGGGTCTCCCTCTCTTTCTTTGACCCTCTGTCTTTTCCAGCATGATGTCCCTCTCCAAGGACTGACCTCCTCCTGATAACATGCCTAAAGTTTCACCGCCCTTCCCTTCAAGAAACGTCCTCTCTCTAAAAGATTCATTTGTTCTCCGGGCAGTCCAACAGATAGAAGTTAGTTGTTTTTAACACTAGCATTATTCCACAGCTGTTATCCTTACCTTCTGTTCCCTCAAGGGGATTCTCGTCCCGTAAAACACATTTACATTTATTGCTGTCCCACAACATGTCGACAGGACAGAGTTTCTTGGAATGAGGACATCTAGGAAGAGAAAATGAGGAATCAAATTGAAAAGCCTTAAAGAAAGGAAAAGACCTTCAAGGGTAATCGTATCTTTGGAATATTTGTGTGTGTGTGTGTGTGTGTGTGTGTGTGTGTGTGTGATTTTAATGAAAGTTTACAGAAAAGTTGGAATGTCATTCATTTTTTTGTTGCACAATTTCCTCCCTTCCCCTCCCTTTCCCTTCTCCCATTCCAGTTTGTAATACACTGGAATATTTTTAAAAACTTGTTAATTGGTATTTATGAACTGCACACCCAGTAAGAAATTAATACTGTAATTGCTCATTACCTCTTTGGTAACTTTAGAAATGAAGCTGTAACGTAGGATTTTATAATTTGTATGCAATTACAGCTGTTAGCAAAGTTGATTTCTCAAAAGTTAATGTTGTGTTGGAGGGGCTCCTGGGAACCCCTGGGGCGCCTGTGGAGGATGTAAAAAAACCCAAACAAACCAAAACCAACAACCCAAAAGGCAAACATACAAAATAAAGTTAATGCTGTTCTAGTATAGCACGTAAACATTGTCTTCTTTAAAATGGAGCGAAGAGCATGGGCCTGCTGAGCAGGGAGATGAAGGGAAGAAAGCTTTCTCTTTCTCTTCTGTGAGCTTTCACTCGCAGTTGAAAAACACAGAGATGTTCTCTGGGCCCAGTGCTCCCAGTACCAGTTGCTCTCAAGTCACTCTGACCCATGAAGACCCCAAAGGTGAAGCCTGATTCCAGAGGGATTTCCATAACTGGCTGTTGAAGGCAGATTGCCAGACCTTTCTTCTGAGGTGCTTCTGATGTTGTTATATGCGATATAACTCATAGCGACCCTATGAACCACAGACTTGAAGCCTGGCCTATCCTGTGCCTCATCAACTCTGATACACTTGAGCCCATCGCTGCAATCAACGTATCAGTCCATCTCGTTGAGGGTCTTCCTCTCTTTCACTTACCCTCACTTACTTTCACTTACCTTTCCAAGAATCATGACTCTGAGGAATAGCCTCTCATAACGACGTGCCCATAGTACAAGTGACAAAGCTTCGCCATCTTTGCCTCCAAGCAGCAGCCCAGCCTTTTAGTTCATAGCCGAACTATTAGGACTCCCGAGTGTGATGTGAATTAGCTTCATCCTTTTATTTTCTACACTTGCAAGAACATTCGTTGCGCTACGTTTGCAAAATGTAAGCAGCCAACTAACTTAGCTGATGCTTTCGTTCAGTGTTTTTATAATTTACCTTTCATTTGCTTCTCTCCATTATTTTTTTTCCCCTTCCAAATCAATGGGCCTTCCCTTTGGCCTCAGGATACCTCAGGGTGTCTTCATTTAGCTTCTGAAGAGTCTCAAAATACTCAAGAAAAGTTCAAAAGCAAAATTCATTTTTTAAGACATTTTTTAATTTAAAAGGAGAATTGTTCCCTTGAGAGTTCTGGTGGCCTAGTGGGTAAGGAGTTACATTAACAACTGAAAGGCAGGCTGTTTGAATCCACCAGCTTCTCTAAGGGAGAAAGATGGGCAGTCTCCTGTGTGATTTATGTCCTCTGCAAACCCACTGGAGGGTCAGCCATGTGCCAGATTCAATGGCACCAAACAACAACAACAACAACAACAACAACAACAACCACCACCATCTTAAGAGAGAAAGATGTCAGAATAATTCTTGAATTCCTCCTCCTGCCCCCATGCATTTTCAGGATTTAAACCTACAAGCAGCTCAGAAGCATTTTCATTTATGCCTGTTCAGGGAAAGTGGACAGCTGTCAGACTTGGGGCTGGGGTGCATTTTTAGAACTACATCAAACCCTTGAAGCTGTTGAGTCAAATCTGACTCATGGCAATCCCAGGTGTCACAGAATAGAAGTGCTCTATGGGGTTTTCTTGGCTGTGATCGTCATGGAAGCAGATTGCCTGCTCTTTCTTCCGTGGCACTTCTGGATGGCACTACTAGCCTTTGGGTTAGTAGACACAAACCATTTGACCCACCCAGGGACTCCACAGCTGCATTAGACTCTGCATGCTAGGAACAAGGAGAGAAGTCGAGCTTTTTGGCCCTACTGTAATATATATATATATCTCACTCACTCACTCACTCATCATCATCGAGTCAGTTCAGACTCACAACCCAACTCCCTATCAGGTTTCTGAGGCTGTAAATCCCAACGGGAGACTGTCTGCAGGGCTGAGGATCACAGCTCCCTTACATACATCTACCAGCTAAAGGAAGCCTTCTTGGCAAAGAAATGACTAGTAGGTATGGGTTAGAAGCTGAAAGACGACCTTGACGTGAACGCCATGACTCTGCAGTCCTCCAAGGTCACAAATGCTTTGCTTAGAGACAGTCTTAGTAAGGGCAAGAAGGAGCACAATGGAGTACCAGAACTGCTTACCGATCTTCTTCTGAGAGCTGGGTGGACCTGCGGATGACGGAGTGTTGATGGCGGGAGGGTGCCGTGGAGAAGCACTTACAGCCTGTGTGGTTGGCCACTTTGACAGGTACCAATTCAGGCACTGAAGTCAGAGGCACTGTTATCTCGAAGAGCTATAAGCAGAAAGAGAGAACCAAGGACACTGAAGGGTTTCTGAACAACAATTTTTCCAGTCTGCATAGTTGCTTTTACCCTTTGTGGTTGTACCGTGGAGTGGGAACCGACCCACAGTCTACCCTCCAGTGGGTTTTCAGAGGCAGTAAATCACACAGGAGGAGACTGCCCATCTTTCTCCTCCTGCACAGAAGCTGGTCAAATCGAACCATATACCTTTTGCATTGGCAGTGTGATTCTTTACCACTAAGCCACCAGGGCTCCCTGTTGTCTATGGTAGGAACTCTAGCAAAGCTGACCATTATGAATAGCAACAGTAATGATAAGGAATGACATCCTGGAAAGAAAGCTGAGTCAGGAGTTCAGGCCTTAGCCAACTTGACTCAATGTTTTAGTTTGGTCATGTCTCTTTACTTTTCAGTGTCTCTGATATCTTTGGAAAGTGGCACTGTTGTTTCCTGCTCTGGATTCCAATTTGGCTATAAGCTATAAGGATGAAATGAAATTACTGTTCCAAGGTTTCTTTGAGATTGAGATATATTTGATCATTATTCAAAACCATGTACTTATCCCTTCCCATACCATTGCCACTGACAGACTGGAATTCCCTGTCCCCTGACCTTGGATTTGGCCCTGTGGCTTGTTTTGGCCAATATACCACAAGGACAAGCTCAAAGTTTACCTGCTTTGTAGGGCTCGTCTCTGATGCTAATTCCGAAGATGAGGAGAATGTGATGTGGCTGGCCTGCTGGTCCAAGGGATGAAGGACACAGGTGCAGACCCAGACCCAACAATCTACAGCTGAGATACCAGCCCTGCCTAGCCCACTCTAGAGAAATCAAACTCCAGATACATGAGGGAGAATAAGGAATTGCTGCCTGGAGTTACTGAGTTGCTAGGGCATTTGTTACACAGTGCTATGCAGTTGTAGCTGACTGATACAAGATCCTTATAGCTAACATTTATATTATTGTTTCCATATTCCAGACCCATATTAAGAACCTTATGGGATGATATTTCATTATCCTCATTGTTACAGGTGAAGAAACAGATACACAGAGAGGCTACTGTAACTTGCCTAAAATGGTAAAACTACTGATCAGGGAGTGAAGATTTGAACCTAGGCTGTCTACTCTAAAGCCAGAGGTGAAGCTCGTAGGAATAGGTTTTATTGCTTTTTGAAACAAACTGATGTGACCAGAATAATCAAGGTAGGACTTTGCCCAGAAAAAACGTACATAAATGGCATTAGTTTGTTTCTAAGGTGGTTCTATGATAACAGGGATGAATTTGAACTTGATTTTAATGGTTTGACTATTCATTCTATCACCATTCCATCAAATTTTTACCATCCAGGGTGCTCAACCACTTAGTTTCAAAGAACTATTAATAAAATAATTCACAATTTTGGGGTGAGTAAATGTTTTCTGTCTTTTTAAAAACCACTATTATAATGTCCAAACACGCATATTTGAGAAAAAAAACTGTGTACTAGCACTTAAGCACATCGTTTAACATGAATCATCTGTTGAGGGGGAGCACTCAAAATAAAGTACTCAAGTATTTGTTAAGTGGAAGCAATCAATTAAAACTGTGTTTATTCTGACCTTTCAATATGTAGTGGAACGTCCATGAATCTGAGAGACTGTTTTTAGAGTGTTTGCATAAACTTCATCTTCTTGTACAATGTTCCAGCCATACTCCAGGGAAGAACATGAACAGGAGCTCAAAGCCTCCTAACATTACACAAACTGTGTTTCTCTAACAGCTGATATTTAGTCATTCTGGTGTGATTTTTATTTTTTCACCCCTAAGAAACTGTCAAAATAGTGGAGGTCAGGATTTTTACAAGTTCCAAGATTCTGTAAAAGGATTTAGGTAATGAAATATAAAGTTTAAGGGAATTAATTTACTTTACTTCTCTCTTTTTTTGTTTTTTGGTCGTGGTGGTGGTAGGGAGCAAGGTTGAGGATAGTGAACCTATTTTAAAAATAAAATCAGCATTCTGTTCTTTTCATTTAATTAAGATAATTTAATTGAGATACTTATAGATTACGGATATTATTTAGTGCATATGGGATACTAGTGTACTTTCTCATTTTACAGACAGTTGTGACAAATGACAGTAGTGCCATGCATTCCGAATCTGCAACCAAAAGAGATGTCATTTAACTTGCAGGGTTTTTCAGATCATTGTTCTATGTCTCTCTAACATGCATCACTTACTATATTTTAAAATAATGTGGTGAGAGAAAGAAAAACTTACTACTGAGCAAGGCCAAAGGGGATTTTAGAAGAAGAGGAAGGAATTTTCTCTTTCTCGGAGACTGTGCAATTATTTGGAAAGGGCTTTTGCACTGGATATTGACCTTTGGTTCCTCCAGAGCTGCCATGCTCTCTCCTCCCTTTTCCTCCTGCCTGGCTCTGTGCCCCTGGAGGATGACCTCTATCTATTGATCCTCCGGCCTTTCCAAGTTCCGCCCCACCTGCCAGGCTGAGTAGTCACGTGGTTTGCTATAGCCAGTGATGTGGCACCTTTCCTCTCGTCCTTCAGTCCTTTCTCTCTTGCTCGCTGGGTGTCCTTGACTGTTCCCTCCCTTGATGGCTTCAATCTAAAGGTGGGATTGTTAGCCTTGTGCCTTATCATCTCTTCCTCATTGCCCCCAACGCTGCCCACTCTTCACAATTCACTCAACTTAGTGACACAGAACCTATCAGACATAAAAGACTGTGCAGCTCTGTTCAGTCCTCTTAATGTCCTGTTCTACTAAAGTCCATGTGGTTTCCCAAGTTTTGATACCACAGACCAGAGAGACAGCAACTGCTGAGTGCAGGCTCTGAAGCCTGTGGACCTTGTTTTGAATCTCATCTCTGCCTCTCACTAGCCATGTAACTTTAAGTAAGTTCCCTTTCTCAGCCTCAGTTTCCTCATCTCTAAAGGAAGAGAGGAAAACACTTGGTCTTGTGGCTTGGGTTAGAAAGCAAATGAGAGCGCGCACATAAGACGTTGAGCACTGCGCTTGCTCGACAACGTTGGTGGGTGTGACTGCGCGTGGGGCGGGCGCTTGCGGGCGCTCGCACCTGCTTGGAGACGTAAGAGGTGCTCGTGTTCACGCACACCAGGCTCTCCTCATTGCAGCAGCCCCCGCACCGGAACACGTTCACGCAGGGCGGCTTGAAGAAGGTGTCGGTGGTCTGGCCCAGCTCGCGGGCCACCTCCACGCACGTCTCCCTTGGGCTGCACTGGGTTCTCTGCCACTCCTCGTCGATGACTGTGGAGAGGAAGCACATTTGGCCTCGCCACGCGGCGTGGGCCAGGGTTATGCTCAACACAGGCCCTTCCACGGGTCTAGTGCTTTCTCATTTCACCAGATATTTTTTTAATCTCTTTCTTCAACCAAAGATTATTTTTAGAAAAAAAGACAATGAAAGTCTGTGTTCCTCCCCATTTCTGCTATACCTTCATAAACCCACCGCAGCCGAGGAGGTTCCAAGTTACAGCGACCCAACAGGACAGCACACAACTGCGCCCCCAGCTTTTCAAGGCTAGTAATTTTTTTTAAACTGCATTTCATTCGTGTACATTGTTGTTGGTTTTGTTCCCTCCCTCCACCCAGCAAACTCCTGTCCCCGTGATTTACCCTCCTCCCCACCCTCAGCCCCCCTGCCCCCTCCTCTTCCCTCTTTGGATACCCATACACATCTTACTGGTTATCCTTGTGTTTTTACAGTAATGGTAGGTATCCTGCAGTATTGCGCCTGAGTTAGTTCACAGCATAATGCGCTTAGCCTCTCCCATGCTATATAGTATTTTTCAAAATCGTTTCTCTTTACTGCTGCTGGCATTTCTCTGCTTGGTTTTTTGAGGAAATACCAAACTGCCTTCCAGAGTGGTTGTACCATTTAACAGTCCCATCAACAGTGTATGAGAGTTCCAATCTCTGCGCATTCTCTCCAACATTTATTTATTGCTGTCCTGTTAAACTTTGCCACTGCTGCTGGGGCGAGATGGTATCTCATGGTGGTTTTGTTTTGTATAAGGCTGGAATCATTAAGGAAGAAACCTGTGGCATCTTGGTCCTGAGGAGCAACAGGTGGGTTCGAACTGTTGATCTTTTAATTAGCAGCTGAGTGCTTCGAACATTGCAACATCAGGACTCCTTCATAGAATATAAGTTGTCTTCATAGAATATTATTTTTCCCCCTTTGTAGCACATTGTATTGACATTGGGTATATCTGGGAAAACTCATCAATAAGAAAGTATATGAAGTGTATAAGGAAATAACATGTGAAAGTTATTTATTGAACAATTTATGGCAAACAGCTAAATTGAATGCTTCTATCCAGCAAGATATGGGTAGGTTTTAGTACCATCAAGAAATATATTTCTGTTGGGAGCTCTGGTGGCCTAGTGGTAAAAAGCTGCGCTGCAATTGCTGGAGGCACTTGGTTCAAGTCCACGAGCCAGTATGGACAATCTCCTATGCAATTAACTGCCTCTGAAAACCCACTGGAGGATCACCTCTGTGTGGGTTCCGACTTGATGGTACACAACAATAATAATTGGTTACTTAAGTAACTATGGTACTTAAGTAACAATGAGTTTTGTGGCTCGTAGCAACCTTACAGGCCACGGTAGAACTGCTCCCGAGCGCTTCCAAAGGTGCCATCTTTACAGAAACAGATTGTCTCATCTTTAAAACCACCAACCTTTCAGACAGCGGTTGAATGCTTAACCACTGCATCACCAGGGCTCCGGTAAGTAACGTTGTTGTTAATGTAACATTGAGTCGGAACCGACTCCTAACTGACCCTCCAATGGGTTTTCAGAGGCAGTAAATCACATGGGGGAAGATTGTTCATCCTTCTCTTGTGGAGCAGCTGGTGGCCTCGAACTGCATGCATTTGTGGTTGCAGCACAGCTTCTTGCCACTAGGCCACCAGAGCTCCCTAAGTAACTTGTTATATGTCATTGAGTTGGCTCTGACTCATAATGACCCTATGAACAACAGCTCTGAAGCCTGCTCTATCTTGAGCCACTTTCATTGTCTCTGACACACCTACCCCCATTTCCCCAGTCACTGAATCAATCTATCTCATGGAGGGTCTTCCTCTCCTGCGCTGTCCTTCCACACTTCCAAGCATGATATTCCTTTCCAAGGACTGGTCCCTCCATGACTAAATATGTCAGACGAAGCTTCAGAATCCTTGCTTCCAAGGAGCAGACTGGTCTCCAGGACAGATCTGTTTGTTTTCCTTCAGTCCATGGTATGTTCAGTACTCTTCTCCAGCACCACAGCTCAAAGGCATCAATTCTCCTTCTGTCATCCTTAGTCATTGTCAATCTCTCTGACGCACAGCTAGTAAAATGGAAACTTGCAAGGAGCTTATCTTTCCATAAGTCGGGGTGCTTATCATCTGCAAATGCCTCATACTCAAACATAATTGTGGTTGTTATGTTGTTCAGTCACTTTTGACTCCTACTGACCCCACACTCACAAAATGAAAGAAGCCCTGCCCAATCCTGCAAAATCTTGGGTGACGGAATTTGGCAGCGGCTTCCTCCTCATTTGGAGTCTTGCCCCATCAGCAAATGAAGGCCCTTCTTGGCTGAAAGCTTTACTCCAACCCTGTCATTAAGAGAGACCCTACTTGGAGGAGGTGGCTTGCACTGTGAGCGTTGTCTGAGGGCCTTCCCTTCCAGCACTGTATTGGACAATGCTCTGCTGCTAGGCATAGTTTTCAGGGCCCATTACATCAGCTGTGGCTGGCCAGTCCTGCTTTCTTCCTAGTCTGTCCTAGTCTGGAAGCTCCACTGAGACCTGTCCTCCTTGTGGGACCCTGCTGAGGTTTGAAATGCTGGTGGAATAAGCTCCCAATACCCCAGCACCATACAAGCCCCCACAGCATGATGGGCAGGCTGATGAGCGGTTAGTGGCAAGCTTAGTGCAGGTGATCAAATAAGTCCATTAGTCTAGTTAATATGAGGGTTGAAAAAGCCTGTGGAAAACAGTGATTCTTTTTCTCTCAATTTTGCAAAAATTTTATTTTGCCTCCTTGATACTTAATATTGTATAGGCCTTCCTAGAGATTTTGGGGGGGGAGAGGGGAGAAAGGTTCAGTTATATGATAAAGACAACCTTTAAAGGCATTCTTTTAGCTTGTCATGGGCCTGTAGTTTCTGTTGGAAGGGTGTGTGTGAGAGGACCTCTTGTAGGTTGCTTCTAAATTGATTCCCAAAGACCCTGTCCTCCTGATCTCCATTCTGGTGAGTAATCCTGTCCCCCGAGTGTGCAACCTGCTGAATGACTGTGCCTAATAATGGATTACACTGGACAGTAATGGGATGCCACCTCTTCATTGTGTTATATGTAACTGACTTCCTAGTCTCTGTTCTTTCTGGCACCTCTCATTCTCTCTCCTGTCTTCTGGGTTTATATACTTACATGGAGGTAGTGACCATGATGGAGGGGCCCACATGATAAAGACTTTTGGGTCACAGCCAGTCACAGGCTGACTAAGGTCTTAGGTCCAACAACCTATGAGGGGCGGAATCCTACAGTGAGTATACTTGGAAGAGGATCTTACCACAGATGAACCTTGAGATGAGTGTAGTTTGAACAGATACTTTAATTGTAGCCTTGAGAGAGACCCTGAAATAGAGACACTTCTCTATGACAGGTGGGCCACTAGGAACAGAAATGCTGTCCCTCTCCTAGCAATGTGTCCAAAGTATATGAGAAGAAGCTTTGTCACCTTTACCTCCGAAGAGACATCTGGCTGCCCTTTCTCCAAGACATTGAGAGGGACATCATGCTTGGAAATGTGGAGGGTCAGCAAAAGAGAAGAAGACCCTCAATCAAATGGATTGACAGTGACTGCAGCAATGGGCTCAAGTGTGTCAGAGATGGTGAGGATGGCACAGGAGAGGAGAGGGTTCTGATCTGCTATTTATAGAGTCACTATGAGTTGTACTTGACTCGATGGCACCCACCAACAACAGTAACAATCTAAGCCATGTCTAGGTTCCTAACCCACAAAAATTGTGAGATAAAAAGTGTCTTAAGCCAGTAAATTTCAGGGTAATTTTTCAGGAAGCAATAAATAGATAACCTCTTAATCCTTTTTACTCTGTTGCTGTTGTTGTGCCGTTTAGGTCCTAACTGACTCATAAGTGACCCTGCAGCAGGTTCTTGGGGCAGTAAACCGCATGGCAGGAGCCTGCTCATCTTTGTCCCATGAAGCAGCTGGTGGATTCAAACCATGTGCCTTAGGATTGGCAGCACACACTTACACTAGGCCACCAGAACTCCTTAGCTGCAATAATTTGTATCGCTCCCCTCCAGTTTGTTCTGTATTCCCATATGTTGTTGTTGCGTACTGTGGAGCTGGTTTTCAGAGGTAGTAAATTGCAAGGGAGGAGATTGCCCATCTTTCTTCTGCAGAGCATCTGATGGATTTGAACCCATGCCTTTGGCTTGACAGTACAGTTCCTTACTACTAAGCCACCAGACGAGTGGATTTCCATACAGATTAGCATATTTCCACCTCTGCGTGAAGTATGCACATACAAAATTACTCTTTGAAATGCTACCCTCATCTTTTAACTATTCCCTCAAAACATCTTTTCTACATGCCTTTCTGTTTCTCTTTAATCCCAGTTCAGCTTCTTTAGTCACGGAGAAGAGAAAATAAAAGATGTTCAGGCAGCTGAGGGATACTGCATATATTAAACAATCTATCTAAATTTTAAGGGGTTCCCCCCCCAGTAAAACTTTGCAAAAAAATCTATTTAAAAATCTGCACTTATAAATATATAAAAATCTTGAAGGTTATAAACACGAGAGATAAATTACTCCATTAGATTTTTTTAAAATTCACTATTATTCATCCTGAATCCTTGGGAAAAGAAAGCAATCAGCTTGTGAGGATAATCTTGGTGGAAAATCCTGCCAACTGCCGCACCTATTTGCATAAGAAAGAGAAAAATATTTTTATAGGACTGCATTTTGAAAGTCAGAGCTGGTAGGATTTTAGTCAAAATCGTGTGCAAATCGTACACAAAATAGCACGACCGACACCATCAGTGAAAAGTCTGTCAAGTTCCTCTTCTGCCTGTACTGCGTCCCACCAGGGCTTCTCCACCTCAGCCCAGCCCTATGTAACACACCAATTTAAATGCGTGCTGCTGCTAACTCAGCTAGCTTTGTTGTTGCTGTTAGGTGCTGTGACGTGAACGATGTATCTGAATCCTGCCCTGTCCTGTACCATGTTCATCTTTGTCATACTCGGGCCCATTGTTATAGTCACCGTGTCAGTCTGCCTTGCTGAGGTTTTCCTCTTCTTCACTGACCTTCTGCCTTTCCCAAAAGATACCTTTTCCTAAGGACTGGCCTCTTGTGACAACAGCTAGATTGTTGTTCTTGTGTACCATAGAGTCAGACTGACCCATAGGTGACCCACGTGGAAAATGGCAGTATTGACCCAAAGACCTGGGTGCAAGCAATGTCTGATGCCCATTGACTCTGACATGGGATCTCAGACAGGTTTAAGCATGTATTTACTTGTTATCTATCAGTGGTGGCTTTCCTGTATTTTTTTGTTTGTTTTCCTGTATCTTAGGATGTTGTTTTTGTTGTTATGTGCAGTCAAGTCACCTGCGACTCATAGCAACCCTATGTACAACAGCATGTATGTCAGGTGAAGCTTCAGAATCCTTGCCTCCAAGGAGCAGCCTGGCTTCACCTTCTCCAGGGTGAACCTGCTCGTTCTCCTACCAATCCGTAGTATATTCAACACTCTTGTCCAGCACCACAGCTCAAAGGCATCGATTCTCCTTCTATCACCCCTAGTCATTGTATCTGTAGATAGTATTGTTGTTGTTGTTGTTGTTGTTATGTGCCGTCGAGTCATTTACGACTCATAGGGACCCTATGTACAGCAGCCCTAAACCCTGCTCTATCCTGTGCCAATCTCACTGCCTCTGACACACCCATCCCGATTACCCCACTCACTGAATCAATCAATCTCATAGAGGGTCTTCCCCTCTTGCGCCGACCCTCCACCCTCCCAAGCATGATGTCCCTCTCCAAGGATCTGTCCCTCCTTGCAACATGCCCAAAGTATGTCAGACGAAGCCCCAGAATCCTTCCCTCCAAGGAGCAGCTTGGTTTAACCCTCTCCAGGATGAATCTGTTTGTTTTCTTGGCAGTCCATGGTACACTCAATACTCTTCTCCAGCACCACAGCGCAAAGGGATCAATTCTCCTTCTGTCCTCCCTAGTCATTGTCCAACTCTTTGATGCATAACAAGCGATTGCAAAGACCATGGCCTGTATCAGGTGCACCTTAGTCTCCAGAGAGACACTGTTGCTCTTGAGTACTTTAGAGAGATACTAGATATTATTAAATTGGGACTCTTTTGTCCGGTATATACACACAGCATATACAGTACAGCAAAGTTCAATGTGAAGCACCTCGTACACAGGGTAGTGGATAATTTGAAGTTTTGTAGACTATACTAGCAAATCATGGCTCGGTATTTTGTTTGAAGCATTCTTTGGTGTTGGCGTGGACACTGAAATCAGCTTGAATATATTTCACTACAGACAAAATCAAGGCTATCGGGCCTGTGCCTCATATCTGTGCTGCAAAAAAAAGGAAAGGGTCCACCCAGTCCTCCCACTGTTCCTCTCTGGCGACGCCCCCCAACGTTGGGAAGGAGTGCGTGCACTTGTCTGGCAAAGGCTTAGCCTCCACATCCACACACCCACCTTTCAGCGTCTCAGTGTCGTAGAAGGTTGCGGCAAACCTGGTGGAGCGATGCGAGGCCGAGCGGGAGTCCACGCTGGCGAGGTCCCTGAGCTTCAGGCGACACCTCCACAGCTTCCAGTCCTCCGAGTGTGTGATGCGCAGCAGCTCCTCCAGGCTCGAGGCCGCCCTGATCTGCTGCTCCGATCGCTCTAAGGTTGACCGATACGCCTGCTTCAAAGACAGAAGGATTGGCCTCAAAAAGCATGTCACAGAGAAACCGTTGGGCAGTTCCTCTACATGGTAAAGCACAGACTTACTTGCCCTCTGAACTAGGATCTCCACTTTGGAGTGGAGACCCCCAAAGATTTGAAAGCAGGGGCCCAAACAGACAAATGGGCACCCGTGTTCACTGCAGCTTTACTCACAATTGCCCGGGAGGTGGGGCCCACCCAGCCACGTGTCCATGAGCAGAAGATGGGATCAACAAAACGAGGTCCATGCATACCATGGAGTACAATCCAGCCAATAAGAGAAACGGACTTGGAATGAAGACTCTGGCTACTAACACGTGGACGAACCTTGCAAATGTGCTGGGCTAAAGAAGCTGGTCTCCAGAAGGATTCTAGGACCTCACTAATGTGGGATATTCATAGGCAGATGCATAGAGACAGAATATAGATTTGTGGTTCAAGACTCCTGGGGAGTTACTGCTTAAAGGGTGCTGAGCTTCTGTTTAGGGTGATGGAAGAGTTTTTAAAAATGATATTAATGGTTGTACAGCATTGTACACAGTCCCTGGAGGATTGCACTGATCAGGCCTGATGGAGAGAAGAAGGCCTGTGTTTGACTTGCTCCTGACTCTGATGCTTTGGATGTTGCCAGCAAAATTGGGATCATCTAAACTGAGTCCAGCGGGCTAATTCTAAATACAAATTTTTCTCACACACAAAAAGTTTTTTTAAAAATCATGCTATGTTAGAAAGATTTTTATTTCTTGAGGCAAATCTCATTTAATAACCATCCATAAAGACAGACTGACTGACATATGACCCCAAAATTCTTACAGGTTTCCATTCAATGTCAGGAATATTCGAAAACGACCGAACTCCGAGAACTCAGGAGGAAATAGCGACTCTCTGGCCTGCACTACTAAACTACTGAATGGCTCATCTGAGTTGCCTTACCATAGAAAAGGCAGAGCATCTGCAAGTCCCCCGAGTTGCTTAAGCACACTCTAAACTCCATAATTTAAAGCCTAATCCAAAAGAATTCAGACACTCATTCTGCTCTTATAAATGGACATGATAATAAGTCAACCTCAAAAGAAAGCAGACAACCCATAAAAATGGAGGTTGTGTGCTTCTACAGGGCCAAGAATCAACACTCAAATGATGGTGAAGCCTAGTTAGGAGTCCCCAATGGGGCGGATGGGTAAGTGCTCAAATTCTAGCCCAAAGGACTGTGCTTCCCAAGGGCCCTTGCTCCCAGCAGGCTTTCAGCACTGATTTGGGTTTGCTGAATCATCTTTATGTGACCTGTTCGTGTGAGACCAAAAAACCCCCACAAGTATAGTTCCAAACACATATGCAAACCGTTAATCCCAACAATTTTAGCTACTCATCATTAGTTGAATTAATTGTTAATTCCTTCCTACTTCCTGATGAATGTGCTAATTGACGTCGACCACCTTCAAAAGCAGTCAGCGGCAGGAAGGAAGTGAGGCAGAGGTACCAGATCTCTGCTTTTTATAATTGTAGGGTTTGTTTAGGTTTTTTTGGGTTCTTTTGCTTGTTTATTATTTTTTTTTTGTTGTAGCTGCTCTGCTTTTTAATAAATAAATCTAAGATTGTTGGTGAGTCCTCTCTTAAATGACAAACTATTCTCTGATATCTCGGCTACCACAAGTCAGCATCATCTAAGTTGTGAGGCTTCAAGTCTTTGTAAAAAAAACTTTGCTGGTTTTTTGGTTTTGGTTTTTGTTTTTTTTGTTTTTTTTTTGGTTAGCTGCCCGCCTCCCCCGGTCGATTCTGAGTCTGGTGACCCCATGTGTCAGAGAAAGGCAGCACTTAATTTCAAAGCTGATCAGACGCTTGTGAGTAAGTTCGAACCGCCCAACTCTTGGAGAGTAGTTGAGCACTTCACTGTTTGCCCTACCTGAAGACTCTTAGCAAGATTCTCCCATGGTTTGAGTGGAGATTACTTTGTGTAGAACAGTGTGGAGGGTAATCATGTCTTTTCTCATGAATTTCTAAATTCACACGCGTTCCCCCTCTTCTCCATAGCTTAGAGTTCAGCTGCCTTCTCAGCCAAGTGTGGCCAAGATGGCGGGCAAGCTGTTTGGAAGAGCGTGTGGAAGGAACTTGGAAATGTCTATGCAATGGAGAGGCCAGAGGTTTTCTGCCCTCCTGTTCTTTAATGCCCCATTTTCACCTTCTTTCTCCTCCAACAACCAAAATCAAGCCAGGTTACATCATAAAGACAAGAAAAGGCATCTTTTTTTCTAACTATCAAAACTCATCACCACTGACCCTAATTAACTATTTGCAGCTTGTCTTGTTTAGTACTTGTCTTCTTCACTGAGTTGTGAAAGCCATTTGAGCCATAATGACGTCTATCTTATTCACAAAACAATCTCAACTTCCGTGATCCATATTATGTTTGAGCCAGTTGTTGCAACTGTTGGGTAAGGGATAAATGTCACATACATTCACGAGAAATTGTCTCATTCTTTAAATCCCTTGGATTATAGCTTGGGTTCCAAATATTTGTATTAGAATATCTTGCTGAGATGGATTGTTGGAGCCCCTTTTCTAACTCAAGTCATCTGACCAAGCATTTGCAGACCGCGTCCCAACCTGAATGACCTTTTCAGGACTGAAAATCAACAATATTATTTTCCAGGCAGCAAATGGCACAAGAAAGCCCGGCTGCCTTTGTGTGACTCAATCTTAAAGGACAGACTAAATTGCTTTTCCAACTTCCAAGAAGCTAAAACAACCTACTACTTGAAATAGAATGAAAAGAATAGGCACTGCTTCACCCTGTGAAATTGAACAGAAAAGTTCAAATTAGGATCCTTTCTGCAAGGCAGTCCTAGACAATATTTTAAAGAAAACAAATGAGACTGCAAGCAAGCAAGGGTGAGGGTGAGGGTGGGGAGAGCAGAGATGAGAATGGCTTTAGGGACCACAGCTGGGTTCAGATCTGGCTTGGGGGTGTTGGGGTTTTAAGCAAGAATTGTCCGAGGAAGTTACTGACTTTTCCTCACAGTTTTTCGAAGAGTTTTCTTGGGCCATTCCTGTCTCGTGCAAGTTAGAATTGTGTTTTGTGGAAAACAACAAGTGTTGGCAAGGATGTGAAGGAACTGAAATGCCGCTCATCCATCACTGCTGTTGTGGTTGCTGTTACGGGCTGTTGAGTTGATGGAGACTCCTAGTGACCCCACAAACAACAGATCTGACCCTTGTCCTATATTATGCGCCATCCTCATGCCTGCCATTACAGGCCCTGTGCCAATGCATCTTCTTGAGGGTCTCCCCCTCTTTCACTGACTCTGCACCTTTCCAACCATGACATCTTCTTCTAAGGACTGACCTCTCCTGACAGTATGCCCAGAGCATGTGAGATGAAGCATCACAGCTTCTAGAGAGCACTTTGGTTACACTTCTTCCAAGACAGACTTGTTTATTCTTTTGGCAGTCCCGGGTATATTCGGTACTGTTTGTCAACATCCCACTCCAGAGGCATTCATTCTTCTTCGGTCTTCCTTATTCAGTGTCCAACTTTCATATGTGTATATGAAGCAATTAAAAATGCTATGGTTCGGGTCAGGAACACCTTAGTGTTTAAAGTTATGCCCTTGCTCTTTAGCATTTTAAAGAGATCTTTGACAACAGATGTGCCCACTGCAGTGTATCTCTTGATTTCTTGACTGATGCTTCCATGGATGTTGGTTATAAATCTAAGTAAAAGGAAATAATTGACACTATCAGTCTATTCTCCATTTATCATGATGTTGCTTATTGGTCTAGTTGTTGGAATTTTTTTCTTGATGATGATATGTACTCCATCCTGAAGGCTGTCTTTGATCTTCTTCAATAAGTGCTTTAAGCCTTCTTCACTTTGAGCAATCAAGGTTGTTGAATCTTACTCTGATTCCATTGCCACATTCTTATTCATATACTCCAGTTTATCAGATTATTTGTTCAGCATACAAATTCATAGATAGGTGATAGGTGAAAGGTTCCAAGTCTGACGTGTACTTCTAGATTTTAAACCATGCACCAAAAACGACTGGAACTATAGCTAATGTCAGATGGATCTTGGCTGAAAGCAGAGAGTAACACAGGAATGTCTATCTGTGTTTCATTGACTGTGCAAAGGCTTTTGACTGTGTGGACCACAACAAATTGTGGCTCACTCTGAGAAGAATGGGAATCCCAGAACACTTGATCATGCTAGTGCAAAACTTATACTTGGACCAGGAGGCAGTCGCCAGAATAGAGCAAGGGAACACTGTATGTTTCAAAATTGGAAAGGGTGTGTGTCAAGGATGTGCCCTATCTCCATATCATTTCAATCTATATGCGGAACAGATTATCCTGGAGACTGGGCTCTATGAGAAGCGTGGCATCGGGCTTGGAGGTAGATTCATCAACAATCTGCATTATTCTTTCCTCTGGGACAATTGGCAGCATCATTATGGAATGTGAAGACACTGAGAGTGTTGACAGCTTCAGTTTGTTTGGCTCTACAATCAGTACTCTTGGAACCAGCAGCCAGGAAATTAAAAGATGAATTGCATTGGGAAAATCTGCTGTCAGAGACCTCTCCAAAGTACTGAAGAGCAATGATGTCAGTCTGGAGACTAAGGTGTACCTGATACAGGCCATGGTCTTTGCAATTACTTGCTATGCATGAGAGAGCTGAACCATGTAAGAAGCATGACCTTTGTATTAATAGCGCAACTCTCTAAGGACTATGCCACCAGGGCCCCAGGAGTGAGAGAGAGGAGGAAAGGGAGTCATTGTTTAGAAAGCAGCAAGTTTCTGGTTTTGATGATGGCAAGTCGGTGATGATGATGTCCTTCTCCAAGGACTGATCCCTCCTTGCAACATGTCCAAAGTATGTCAGATGAAGCTTCAGAATTCTTGCCTCCAAGGAGCAGCCTGGTTTCACCCTCTCCAGGATGAACCTGTTCATTCTCCTAGCAGTCCATGGTATATTCAATA